CCACACTCAGGTAATAATGAGATACGAGCCCCACCCACACTCGCATAACATATATTGAATAAACACATACATAAACACTCATCGGGCCCTGCCCGGTTATCAGACCTCAACCCGGAAAGCATATGAACACATACACATGCAAGAGGCATGAAGACAGCTAGCATACTAACATAACATAAACATGAGCCGACATTGGTGCCTTCGACCCGCTAAACCCAGTGAGGAAACTCACCTCGAATGTTGAAGCTCACTACAAGAAATCCCTAACTGCTACCCTGACAACTCCTCGAGCTAACAATACCAAAATATCACCCAATTAGCAATTGGGTTCCAAACCATGATCCAAAATCCATACTTGGGGTAAAATGACCATTTTACCCTTGGCCCAATAAGATTCATAACTAAGGCCCAAGCCCAAAACCAATAAGATCCAAAACTACAAAATCCATGAAAGCACACTAATGGCCCAATTTTCCAAATTGGGCCCAATCCCATACGGGCCTTATCCTAAGCCCACATTTCCAAGCCAGATTGCTTCAAACACCCAGTGGGACAAACTTGATCAAAGACATAGGTCAGAAGTCAAAGCCAACGACTTGAGTTGACCCAACTCGCCGAGTTCCTCTAACAAACGCAAAGTCGGGAAGAAATCGGTCCAACTCGCCGAGTTGACACTTACCAACTCAGAATCGGGGGCAACCAAAACAACTCGCCGAGTTCTCCCATGAACTCGTCGAGTTCTTCAGTCAACAAACCCACTTAATCTATTAAGCCACTAAATTATAAAGTCAAGGCTTCAAATTGCAGATCTAGTCCCTTAAGGCTGTATTGATGAGTAAACTCTCCAACTTTACTCTTATGCAAGGCTAGAAGAAGCTCAAAAGCTCAAAATAAGCTAGAAGAAAGGCTTAATGGATGCATGGAGCCCTTAAAACCATAAAGTTGGCACCTTTATGCCACACGAGCTCCCAAGAACCATGAATCTGAAAGAATAACTCCATTGGAACGACCAACACCCCATCAACCACTCAAACTTAGCTAAACCATGGAAACTAGCCCTAACAAGGAGATCTAGGCATATAATAAGCAAGGTTGAGACTTTATACCCGAAAAATGCTGGAAATGGAGCAATGAATCGAGATCTGAAAGCTCCTCGTGAATCACCACCTGACACTAAGCTCTTATTTCTTTCAATGGCTTCAAACACACCACAAAAGCATTCAAAATGGCTCACAATACTAAAAAATGTCTTAGGGTTTCTAGGTTAGGGTTTAGGACAATGGTGTTTGGAAATGAGGCCAACATATGGGGTTTAAGTTGTTTAAATAGGGTGCATAACCACAAGATTAGTGTTTCCCAAACCACGTCCAACTCGTCGAGTTGGTCCTTTCCAACTCGTCGAGTTGGTCTTAAAAAACAAGCGCGACCAACACTTCCAACACGTCAAGTTTATTCCCCAAACTAGACAATTTGGCCTTTAGAAATGAGGTTTTATTTCTATAATTGACCTTCTAGATTTCGAATGTTACATATGCCCAGCGTACGCATGGGCTCCCCCGATTCGTGCCTCACCAAGCTACGCTGCGCGTACACTATGTACGCCCAATGTACGACCCCCTTCTCATAATATTATCGTTATTATTATTATTATCAGATTAAGAGAATACCTGGAAACTCGGGCATTACATTATAACTCCTAAATAACAAGGATCCTCAAAAAAATGTGGTCTGTTTAGACTGAACGATGTGGGCAACGTCCACAACCGTTTTTCTGACGTTTACAACGCTCAACGGCGTGGTAACAGCGAAACACCGCCCCTCCCATTTCGTTTTCGTCCGTTGTGAGGCTAGACGTTACTCTTCGTTGCCCTCGTAACTTTTCATAATGTGTGAAAACGATCCAATATTTGACCGCTGTTGAACGGTAATATGTTAAAAAAAATTAACTTTTTTTTATTTTACCTATAAATACACATACAAACATAAAATTTTAAACCACACACTCTTTTCTCATCTTCATTATATTTTCAACTTAAAAAACCACTTTTCCTGTCAACCAAATATGGAGCAAAACCCGAACACCTCGCCTCCAAACACAAACACATCCATCCCGATGGGTTTTGCACAATACGGAAGTTACATGAACATGCTCACCTCAAACTCACCCCCAATGCAATTTCCTACATCCCCTTACATGCAACAAATCCCAAATCTTCAACAAAACTTTTTCAGCATTTTCACTTTCATGCAACAAAATACCACACAACCACCACCCACACAACCACCACCATAAATTTTTCTTGAAACACAAGCGGGAGGCAGTTGGAAAGGGAGAGGGAAAAGAAAAGGGAAAAGGAAAGGGAAGGCAGTCGCGGATACGGAAGAAGAACCTCC